GATATCAATGAGATATGAAAAATTATTGATTCTCTAGTAGCCCTAAAAAACAGGGTTTTTAAAATAGAAAAAGAAAAATATGATTGAAATAGTAGTTTGTGCAACAAGAGTGGATATGATGGCCATATCGCAAGTCGAAATTTGAGCATGACACCGTAGGCGGAGTGCTCAATTGTCTTAGTGCGATGTGGACAATCCACTCGAGTTGTACAGTATACGAAAATTTACAAATAAAATAAATATTTTAGGTTATTAAGACAAAATAATTAAGTTTAAAATAATTTAGACCTTTTAATAATTTTTAAAATAAAATAAATGAAAAAGAAAATAAAATGATTTAATTTAAAAGTCCCCAGCCGAGGCTCGAACTTGCGTTTCTCGCGAGGAAGGCAGATACTCTAACCACCCATCCACGGTAAATTTATGAATTTTTTATAAATAAATAAAAATAGACATGCTTTTATTTATCGATTCTGTACAAAAAAGTCATTTTAATGTATATTTAAGTTCAATATCTAAAAAATATACTGACAATTAGTTTGACAGAATTGTCACTTATTTAAAATTTTAAAAATAATAGACGTCGGGTAACCAAAATATGAACTGTGATTGGTGGATTTCATTATTTTGCAGTGTTCTCACTACATAGAATGGATATAAAATATATTCGTTCAATTAATGGCAATAGTATACTTTTTCGTTTTGTAGTACGTAGATAAGCAAATATCCATGTGGGTGTAGAAAAAATGTATTAAATAGCTACTTTTGCAACCGGTAACGAAATGCTTTATTTTATGTAACGAGTGAATATTTTCGGGACGAGCAGACCGAATATATTTTTTAATTTTGACTAGATTATTTATAAAATTGTGCAACTAATATTACTTTTTTGTATTGTTAGTTGCATATGCGTTACATTATGACACTTGCTACAATGGCAGAAAATGCCACTTTATGTTAAAAGTAGAAAAAATTATTTGGATATAGCTACTTTAAAAAAATCGCATGAATTTGGATGTTTTATGTTTTTATCTGTATCATAATAATTTGTATGAAAGTGTTAATTTTATTATTTTCATTGCTATTTTAAAATAAGTATCACTGACATGCAATAAATATTAATAAATAAAAACCTCGATAACCTTTGATATATTTTAGAAGTATGATTCATTGAGGTTTTGATTAAAATTAAAAGTCTAGTCACTTTTAACAAATACTCAGAAGAACCATTTGTTTTTAATGTTTTTCTTTCTTGTTCCCCTTCTACTATCAACTATAGTTGTTCTGAAAACATATTCTTTAGAAGTGCAGGTTTATTAAGATTGATAAACTTTAGCAACCCGAAAAATGTTAATGTTTCTTCTTTGTACCAAAAAATATTTAAAATTGCCGATTTTCAGGACAAATTTCTAAGATTTTTTTTTTATAATGGCAAATAAATGAAGACAGTTAGTGTAGATTCTGTGAGGAGGAGAATGAAACCTCCTATCATATTCTGACTGAATGTGTAACACTCCAGTATCCGAATAGAAGAGGACGATGTACCTAATTTGGAGCTACTCCAAATCCTAAGAACTTACTAAGGAGGATAGGATTGTAAGGGTCGCTATATGAACCGAGCCCTTGCTGTATTAGCAAGAGAAGAGGGAATACAATAACTCTGTTAGGTCGCCGTGTAATTATACCACATACATAACATAAAATAACATTAATAATGGCAAAAAAATTCAATCTCTGTAGTTCATATTTACTACTCATTAACAAAGGAGTATCTGAAAATTTTAACTTTTTTTAACGGGTAATATACACTCATCGGCAGAATTAACCGCCCACCCAATTATTTTTATTTATTTCTGAAATTTTCGGAGATTTTCGTCATTTTTTGACATTAATTGATATGACGAGACATTTTGACAGTAAATAAATATTTAACTGTCAGTGCTGTCATTCTTTCGCTTTTTATTAATAATTTGGTTCCAATTTGGCTTGTTAAATGTTAGTGTATTTATTGGGTGGGTGGTTAATTCTGCCGGGGAGTGTAATTTTAACAGATTTTTTAATGTTTTTCTTTGCAATTCATATTTAGGCATACCTACTTACAAAAAAAAACCATTAAATCATTAAATATTTTTTCACATATCTATTTATAGATATTAGGTAAATATACACATTTAAAATTTTCATTGCCATTCATAGTTTGATACGTTTAATGGGTACCTACACCTACTTATCTATAACTCGTCATTAAAATGGTTAAATGCATAGAAAGAAAATAAATACTTAAACAGCATGAAACAAGAAATATGTTTGGCACACTTCCATTTTAATATTCTCCGAAATTAATGCATATGATCATTGTCATGGCCGAATTTAAATAGATTATATCATCATCGAAAGAATTTAAGAGAAATGATACATTTCTTAAGAATCAGTGACGACGGAAATGACTAAATTAAATCTGCTTCAATTGAAAATGAGTAAATGCAACACGACACATGCCAAAAATATCTCATTTGTTTACTCTTTTGTCAACTAAGATATAGCAAGAAGTTAGCCTTGAGTGACCAATAATAATACTAAGTGAGTAAAGAGGTAAAGGAAGTCGTCTGTTTATGTTTTAAAATAATGTAGGAGTGGATGAACAACTTTGAAAAATATGCATAAGATTTTATAGACACAAGTAGGTTCTAATGAGTATACCTACATGCACGTTAAATATTATTAAATTTTAGCAGTTTTTTATATAGGTGAAATAAATGCTGCTTAAAATACATCATTTAAATGTTAAATTTCTCAAACCATTAAAGCTGTACAGTGTGTCCCGCTTTTCATGAGTACACCCTAATATCTTAGTTATTAATAATGCGATTTTCTTAAAATTTTGGTGGTGATTGTATGTTAGAAGAATAAAGTATTTGGCATAGTGAACATTTTTATTTACCATTGGCGTTTGGTGTTGGGGGATAAAAAAGGATTTATTTTTAGGAAAAGGATATTAGGGCTTATTTTAGATAATTTTTTCTATCAGATTTAGAGTCAGCATCACAAAAAACCCTTAATTCATATTTTCAAAATCTCATTAAAATTAACACGTGCAAAATTTTGGCTGTATATTTGTATCGGGTGTCGTGGTTTGACCGACATGCAAGCTTCTATCGCCAAATACGCGACATTCGGCCCTTGATTTATTCATGAGCTGTAGAAATAAGAAAGTTTCAAATACCTGTGCGATCCATAGGTCTGGGAGATGAAGAACTTGGATTACAAGATTACCTTCTGATTGAACACTTTTATTTTAAATATTAAAGGAATGAATTGATGTATCACCATACATGATTTACTTAAGAATAGACACTTTTTTGTACGGCTACTATCCAAAGTAGGCTTTTGCGCTTCGAAATCCAAACGCAAAGTTGACGTTTTCCGCGAATTGACATTAAATAACAGCGACAAAGTTGACAACTTTGTTGCTCACCTAATTTAAATTAGCTATAATATATTAATATTTCTTTTTAATAAATGATTTTCAAGTTTTTTGTACGTAGTTACATATTGTTTGTTATATTATCCAAGATAACATGGGCTTTGAATATCAACTGCTTTTTTCATGATTAACGTAGGTATATTACCCATTTTCAGTTTTTATATCTATTTCTTAAGAATATGTGATCGTAGAAAAAATCTTGTATGCATTTTAAGTAAAACGTTCGTTGCCGCTTTCGATAGATTTCCACACTCCGCTACGCCTTGCGCGGGCAACTTTCTGTCTCAAGCGGAAATGTTTTACTTTTCACTCTTAATACACTAATAGCTATTTACATTATTTACAGCATTTCTCTAGGAAATTAGTTATTTTAAGCCATTTTAATAGAGAGAAAAAAGTATATGTTACATAACGGCGGACAGAGCGTTGCCATTTTATCGCGACAAACATGTGTGGTCTCGTTGACAGTACCTGAAGCTTTGATTCTGAGAGAAAGATAAGTCGCTAAGTGCGCTTGAGACTCACGCTTGTAACGTTGACCATTGAGAAGTGAATTATGCCTGTGACATATTTATTTATCAGAGACCTTTCTTATCTGCCTATTACAGAGACGTCTCCAGGAGTAGCAATGTATATCGGATGCAATATTGTGTGGAACGATTAATGTAATTTGTTGAATGAATTCGTTTTTTCTTAAATTCATCTTTTCAGTTTTCTCCATCTGGTTTACGTTTATTCAGCTCCTCCATTAATTCAATGAATGAGCCTTTCTACATTTTATAGTTTGATCACTAATAATATTCATCCCTTAATAATAATATTTTGTTCTTTAATATTTTGATTACAGTACTTCTGTATGAAAAAATACTTTACCTGGTATAGGTTTATGCTTATATTCCCTACCTGCACGTTATATCTTTACAGTTTCATTCATTTTTCTATATTTACCTATTTTTCCAAATAACTCGTTTACTTTTTTCTTTATCTTCATTTATTTTATCCTTTGCATCCGAAACTGTAAATATTTTCCATAATAAAAACCATAAAAATATTTATTTTGCTTTTAATGTTCTTAGATGAACATTATTCATTATTTACTCCACCTCTACAGTTTGGTTTTATTTTTTAAGTTCAGCAATTTCCTTCTTCAGTTCTTTTATTTCATTATCCTTTTTTGTAATGCTTTCTTATTCACAGTTCAGTTTGCACTATGTACAGTTTATAAAAAATTCCTTTAGTTCAGAAAGTTTTAAAAGATGGTTGGAATCACAGTCTTTACAGAAATATTTCATTTTTCGAGTCACAAATGATAGTTGGAGACATCTAACTTCTGGCATTTTGATCTCGTAGAGATTACAGATATTTATTGACATATGTATTTTACAATTGCTAATACATATTATTATTATTAATATTACCCTACAAGTCGAATATTTAATCAATAAACAGAAACTTTGCTTTAAATATTAACTAATCTTAATCTGACTCGTGATTGATTTTAATATTTTTGTTACAGATGAAACAGACGAATCTGTACCGGCAGTCGCAGATGAGCCCGACATTCTAATAATAAGAGACATCGATCCTTGTATTAAGGAGAATGGCTCGTTTCATCATACCTCACGATATGAAGTTATGCAACAAAAATTCTATCCTAAATTGGTGGTCAGGAGAGGTCAAAGTTTTCAATTAGACATCACCTTGAATCGTCCGTATGATAAGAAGAGAGACGGTGTCTCGTTTATATTTTTCGTTGATGGTAAATATTATTAAATTATCTATGATTCATTTTTGTAGTTTTGAAATCGTTCCGTTCGAAATACATACAGGGTCAGGCAAAGCTCTATGATACTCCTCATAATACACATTGATCATAAAGTAAGGATTGTACGAGTATTTCAGATTATCGCCATCCCAAAGATCGTTAATATATATTATATTCAGAGCAAATTGCATAAAATTGACCCTTGAGTAACCCCTATTAATATAACTAAAATTTTTGATAGTATATGCCATTAATATCATCAACTTATTTTATTTACAGGAGAAGATAAACTTTCCCACGGTAACGGCTCACTCATAGCTGTGCCGCTTTTAAGTAAAACAGAGCAATCATTATCTTGGAATGTAATTCTAGACAAAGTGAATGGGAACGTAATCACTGTGCAGGTGACTACATCACCTGATGCTATAGTTGGCAAATGGAATTTGGAAGTTGACACAAGACTCATTCAAGATGGAGCGTATAGTTACAGCTGGGAAACGGGTAAATCTGAATTTCTAATGTTGCAAGTGTTCGATAGTTTACTGTATTTTATTTTCTCAGATTGATTAAATGCAAACATACGTCTTGATGACAAAAAAAACGTATTGCATAATAATTAATAATAATAATAAATTTATTATTTATCAAAACAAAAAACTGATTAGAGATGTTTTAAAATAACAAACATTGGTAAATAAATGGTACAGTATTAGGTTCAAAAACCGATTATTCCATACTGCCCATTAAAAACAAACTAAAATACAGTATTAAAATTCTAATTTAATAATACATTAAAAAACTTAACTAAACTGAATATTCATATTCGTTACTGCCAGTTCATTTGTTCTGCTAATAACCGTTTTTTTTTAAGTTTTTCTGAAACATTCTATTGATACACTAAAAAATGGTACATCCAGCAGATTTCCATAACAAGATATTTGATATGAGAAAGATCTTTTAAATATTTCTTTATTATGAGCGGGGGGTATTAATAATATCTCTTCTTCTTAAATCTAAATTATGTATATCAGTTCGAAATCTAACTGTACTGTGCAAACATGATGGAGTTTTATTTTTAATTATTTTGTAGAAAAAAACACAATGAATGTAATTTACGACGGTTTGACATATTCAACCATCCTGTTTTCGTTAATTTATATAAGGTCCCACTCACTTAGTTACTTTTTTTAGGAATATATATTCTATTCAATCCTTGGTGTGTAGACGATCAAGTATACCTAAAATCTAGCGAATGGAGAGACGAAGCTATCCTAAACGATGTAGGACTAATATGGAGAGGAACTTACAATAGACTGCGTCCAGTAATCTGGAAATACGACCAGTTCGAACAAGATATTCTAGAATGCTCTTTATACTTAGTTAGCGTCGTGGGAAAAGTCAATGTCAAACAAAGATCAGATCCGGTAATGACTTCAAGGTGAGTCAAATAATTGCTAACAAAAAATTTAAAGTAGAATTGCTCAATGTACCTTCTCTTAGTTTTGATCAAAATACAAAATTTCGTTGTTCGCAAACTAAAAGAGCCGATTGACGGGCGGCGGCCCAAGCGGTACGGTGCACACAGATCCCTTTCAGACGAGGCTACTGTATCCGAGATTCAGAATCACGGCGAAAACTTGACTAGAGTCTACGTCCCAACCGCAACTTGGGTGCCCACGGTGTTGCCAAATGCCAATACGACAATTTGTAAATTAAATTTGTTTGGTTATATTTTGTTAAAACTAGTATTTGTACATCCTTCATGTGATAAAAGTGAAATACGAGAAATTCAATATGGAATTTGTTTGTGATGAATGCAAACATACTTTCAAGTTGAACGTGAGTGAAATCCTCTTCCCGGCCAACTGACACAGATCAAAGAATAGGCATTCTTGCTTCTCAGCTTAATATCGCTACTTATACCAAATAATCCTAAGTACCTATTGATTTTTTTAATAAACACAACAATTAATTAAAATGCATATTTTTCTGAAATAGGTTCACAAATATTGGTAAAAGTATCTTTTGTATTGTCACCATATATTTCGTATCACATGAAATAGTCTATATGCTCTGGCAAGAGCCTTGAAGCCATTACATTATTTCTTCTGCAAAATCCCTTAGGTCGAGATCAGTAACCTTCAACATAATTTGTACAAACTCCTGTCTGTGGGTCAACAAAATAAGCAGAATGATTCACCCATTTATGTGTATAAGGAGACACGCCGTCATAATTATTTAAACAATCATAGGCACGCCACTTATCAGTCCAAATTTTTGTTCCAGTACAACCACATAACCGATTGTATAATCTATTTTTCTATGGTACCATCAGAAACAACACAGCCGAAGTAAATAACAAATTTAACCTACAAATTGACGTATTGGCATTTGGCAACACCGCGGGCACCCGAGTTGCGGTTGGGACGTAGACAAAACTGAAAACTTGGGCTGCTGTATCGAATTCTTACGCAATGATACAACCAGCACTCACTTTGGTTATGGGACTAAAAAGAGCCAATAACAACGTGCGAACACCAAATTATAGGCGGGACATAAAAGCGCGCTAGTTTTGAAAGTAACGCCGTGAATAGCAGTACATCGGATATACACGAATTATTTGTACATCGGATGTATCATCCATTATTTGTACATCCTAATTCTAACATAACTTTATTTCAGAAGATGGAGTTGAAGACTTAAGTATTTTTCTGTAGTATTTTATAAACCTTAGAAGCAAATTTCACATGCATGAACTAATAATAATAATGCCGTGACAACAAGAAGACGAAGCAACGACTTCTCGTAGGGTGGCGGCATCGCAGTCACCAAAAATTTTCAATCCATACCTGGCTACGCCGACCGGCATAAACACCAACGGCCTGGACACAGCTCACCTACGAGTACTCTGTCAAAAGGAGACCGATGTACAAATAAAGCGCGTACATCCGATGTACTGCTAGTCACTGTCATAAAATAAAAGAATAATATTTTAAACCAAAACACATATATATCTAAAGTTGAGGTCAGAAAACTTGTTTCCATCATCACTATTTTTCGCAGCATTAAGCTCCGCCCCTTAAGGCTGTCACTTCTGTTCATTCCGATTGATTAAATTGGCACTCGTAACGGAACTGTGTGCTGGATGTAGTTTTGCAATTCAACAGTACTAAAATAGTCGGAGTGGCATGCGTAGGTTTGAATTATGGGTTTAGAAGAGTGTACACATAAAGTGCACATCATATGGATGTGCCTATAATATAATTTCCGTTGCAAAAGTATCCATATCTGAAAACGTCTATATATCGTAATAGTAATTCTGTGTGCGACATACGCATTCAGCCTCCAGCGGCTGAAGGTGCCGGGATACAGAAATTCCGTATCGCGATACTGTATCCGTTACCCGTACCGTGTGAGTAGGTCTATGTACAGCCTGAATTTCGGATACGCGTATTTCGCATAGTATCCTCTTCTAAAAGAGGTCTAATTAATATTTAATCATTAATGAAGTGTAGATGAGATACTTGCATTTTTTTGGCAATTCAGCAACTTTACAACACTTATGTACCAGCCACCACTGGTGCATATGTTATCAGTGCTGGACTTAATTTTTATTTTTTCTTGTGTAACGTAGTTGTAATGTCGTTTTACAATATTATTATTTGTAAAAGTTTGTATGCAGTTCCTATTATTATTGTTGTTAGTAAATAGTCATTACAAACCCGATGTTCCTTCGTTATTTATCCTTTATACGAAGACATATTTCACATTTTTCTGTCAGTGAATATCAAGTACACACATTTAGCTACTAAATATGCCCATCCCACTTGAATCAACCTTCTTATGAGCGCGCGAATGGCCACTCGAACATTCGAGTGCAGTTCAGCAAGAATCAACATCTCCAAAGTTCCAGTTACTTCGCTACGGCCTTCTATCCATTTAGTAATTTCGTAAATCAGCCAGACTTACTTCTGATTATAGTTTATGACAGTATCAAATGATACGTCAAATTTCACGCATGGGAAAATAAGGGTTACGGATTTTAATAATCAGTCAAGTTTTTGGATCCGCAAATTTTCACCCAGACTGACTTTCTTCCGGTTAGGATATGCAAGACCGTTATTTCCATTAATAAAATGATTCACTTTAATAAATGTCAAATATTTATGACTGGGGAAAATAAGTGGACTGGTCTTTTGTTTTTTTCATCTAGTGAACCCATCCAAAAATTTTAGCCAGACTCACAAATTGTGGTTTTGTGTCACCATTCGAACAAACAATGTCATATTCACCGACTGCGAAAATAAGTATAAACATATTTTACTGTCTCCTGGACTATATGTATGTGTAGGAATGAATCGCTTGTGTATATTTTCGGTTTTTCAGAAATATTTCTATATTTTGCGTTGACACTTTTTTATGAACGAAGCTATTTTTATTTCTAAAATAATACAACAAATAAACAGATATTTTATATTCTGTTTCATAGATAAGCGTGTTTAAATAAAATTATAAAAAACACGCAATATTAATTAACCTACTTTCCGACTTCTTTTTATACTTAGAAGAAAGCAAATTAGGTAATGATGCTTCGGTGATTTAAAGAAAATTTATCTGTATACCGGTTATGGATAACACCTGCATATTTGTATAGGATGGCTCATTAATAATGGGACATAATGAAACAAAACTTGCTCAAGTAAAATGTATCTAGTTTCTGAAATGCAGAATGTAAAAACTGATAATTAAGCAATGATTGCGACCAAATTTTCTTTTTTATTAATTCGTTTTTGTTAGTGACACTGTTCAAATATTATATTGGATGTAATTTTGAATTTTTTTGTTATGTAAATTATGTATTTTTTTTTTTGAATTAGTAAATTATGTTCTAGATAAATTCACTACACACTGAAAAAAGGTTGATATTTTTTGTATTTAATTTTGAAACATTTTATAATTTTTAATTTAAATTTGTTAATATACCGAAAAACGATATTTGAATAAGAAAACACGTTAAAAACATAACTGGTTTAATAAAAAAATTATAGAGAAGAACATTACCAGTAATTTTTATTTAAAAAAGTTTCTTCTATTAGCGTAAATAACAAATATATTCCATAAAGTAGAAAAACTACCTAAGCCCCCCCTTATTTAAATATTATATTATATACAAGTGGTCTAACACTACTTCTGCGATTATTTATGTTTGTTCATTCTTTGTATATATCTTGTATATTGTTATTTTATATTAATTTGTATCTTTTTAAGATGAATAAACATTATTATTATGTATCCAATGTATTGTTTTTATATTTTTTCACTTTCTTCTATTATAGTTATTTAACTTTTTATTTAATGGTAATAACTATTTAATTTTACGATTCTAGAGCACTAGCTGCTGCTGTAAACTCACCAGATGACTACGGAGCGATTATGGGTAATTGGTCTACCGATCATAGTGGCGGAACTCCCCCTACGAAATGGCTAGGTAGCAAAGAAATCCTACAACAGTATTTTAAGAAAAAGAAACCTGTAAAATACGGACAATGTTGGGTATTTTCAGGAGTTTTAACCACAGGTATGTATTACTAAAGTAATTATTATTCAGTAAATAAACGTACTGATGCAAATTGTTTTTTAGCCTGTCGTGCCATCGGAATACCAGCCAGAACTGTTACAAATTATTCCTCAGCTCACGATACTCAAAACTCGCTTACTGTCGATTATTTCATGGACGAAAATGGTTCTTTGATGGAAGAAATGGCATCCGATTCAGTATGGAACTTCCATGTGTGGAATGAAGTTTGGATGGACAGACCTGACCTTGGTAGTCACTATGGAGGATGGCAAGCAATTGACGCTACTCCACAAGAACTAAGTGATAATCAATATAGATGTGGACCGTCTTCAGTCATTGCGGTGAAACAAGGAGAAATTTTAAGACCGTATGATAGTAACTTTTTGTTTTCGGAAGTTAACGCAGATAAGGTAAATATAAATAAAAAAATTTCAATACACGTATTAGAATGATCAATAAATAATAATTTTATACTTTTGTAAAAAAAATTCCCTCAAGATGTTCTTATTACACCTTCTTGCAACTCACTATCCTTCTTAAAATGATGTGTTCTGTTACGTTTATTTTGCATGCTGCACGTTCAACAGTTATTACATAGAGAAGCATAGAACATAAAAACGTAATATGTATAGAAAATTACTATATAAACACCAAAACTTATCTACAGGTCAAAAAAGAAAGAAATCATTGTATGATGGGAACTTAGAAGCACCTTCATAGGCGCCGAATCCCCGGGGCTCCGGGTGCGCAAGTAAAATGAAGAAGCTGTCGTGGCCCGAGTTGGTATAGCGTCAGATGCCTCAATGAAATATTATCGTTCGGAGCTATATTTTTTGTGATAAAAAAGTCGCCGTAACTTGTCATAGACAACGCGTTGAACTTAAGGGTTGATTATTTTTGGTGTATAAAACCCTATGACGTCAAAAAAGAAAGATTATTAACGGTCTACAATTATCAAGATAATATCTTGTACATATGCCATTGAGCAAATGCTTAAGGGGAAAAGGGAGAACATTTGAAAGTTGCTCCTGATCAAGCACCGTTAGAAAAAAACGTTCATTTGGAGTTAGAAATAGCTCTCTAGTATTGCTGACGAGAAACCCAGTCAATTTTGTTTTTTACGGGGAATCATTGTTTTGGCAATTGCACCCTCTAAGCGGAAACCTTCTATCGGGGGTGAGAATCACCAGTTATATCTTAAATGGAAAGATTGGTTGAATGATATGTTATTTTGAAGGTATTTTTACCTAGATAATAACCCCCGAGTTTTACATCGCTACTATCTATGAAGCCCATACAGTGGCTCACCAAAAGTACAAAACCGGTTTAACATAATTTTACATTGTTATTAAAAAAAAAAGGAATTCTTTGTAACAATTTTACTTTTATACCTGTGGCTCTCAATTATTCTTATCAGATGACATTCTTTGGTCGCCGTAAAGTAGTAAGGTTTAGTTTATTTCGTTGTAGAGTCGGCATAAAAGTGGCATATCAGTGATAATGGTTTACTCTATTGCTAAGAGGGTGCAAAGAATTTCACTTTTTTGCGAACAATAAATGTGCTAATAGAACTGCCTAACTGTTTAACAAACAACATCAAAATCGACAAGTCCATCGAAATTACATTTTGGAGTTAGTCCTAACATTTTGGAAAACGGGGTCAGTAGCTAACAAATAACGTGAAATGGAAAATTCTGTAGTAAATAATGATACAGAGGTGGCGATTTTAGGACATGTTGTTCATGAACCCATATTGAGTACAAGACAGTTGGCGATAACATCTGGTATTAAGAGACGTAGTATTCAGAAGATATTGAAAGTTTTATTTCTACAAAATACATCTGGTAAAATAACTTAATGATTTTGATAGGCGATTACAATTTTGTGAAATTATGACTGAACGGGTATAAAATGATCAGCAATTTCTTTTCAATGTGTGTTACTCAGACAATGCACTTTTTTCCTAAATGGTACGGTAAATCGACACAACTGTCGTTATTGGTCCGATTCAAATCCCAGAATATTTCATGAAGTACATACGCAAAATCCGGCAAAACTGAATGTTTGGGCTATTATTTTTGGTAACCGTATAGTAGGCCCCTTTTTTACCAGAAACTTTAACCGCAGAAATGTATCTGGAATTATTAGAAAACGCTATTTATCCAGCATTACTAGAGTTGATTGATTTGTACATAGCAAACAACTTAATATTCCACCATGACGGTGCACCACTGTTCGTCAGTATTTGGATCAAACCTTTCCAGGATCGAAAGAAGAGGAAGTATTGAGTAGCCCCCACAGTCTCCGGATCTAAGCCCGTTGGATTTTTTATGGGGCCACTTAAAAAATAAAATGTATGTCACCCAGCCAACATCACTGGAAAATCTGCGACAACGACGGATAATTGATGAATGTCATCAAATAACCCCATAGATGCTTCAAAATGTTCGATAGCATTTTAAACAAAACCTCTATTATTGCATGGAGGTCCAGAATCAGCATTTCTAGCATTTACTCGATTAACTGGTAGGATTTTACAGAAAATAAAAATCGTTAAAAGATAATGGCTAGGAAGACAGTGGCGATTTAAAATTTGGGGGTTATAATCTATTTAAAAATACCTTCAAAATACCAGTGGTGGCTGCACCGAGCATATAGGGTTTCCAGATATCCCGTTTTAGGTGGGAGCCTCCAGCCTATCCAGCAATTGCCATTTGACAATACCTTTTTTTTTGAAGAAAATTTTCATAAAATCAACTTTAAAATAGCTTTTTAAAAAACCGGTGGTGCCTTTAAGTGAGTTGTGGAGGGTAAGGGGGGATAGCCCCCATTTTCCGCATAGAAGCCGGGCACCCAAAGCGATTTTTGAATTCCGGCGCCTATGAGCACCTTCCAAGAAGTTCCTTGAAATTCTAATAAATAAGACTAAAAAAGAGACTTAGTTGTATTTATTCCTTATTCCACGTATTTTAAATTTAACTGTAAACACAATTCATGTTGGCAACATTGATTTCTTCAGAATTTCTTCCCCCACGTAAGCCTAACTTCAAGCAATTAGAAACATGCCACAAATCAACATGAATGCGGTCACAACTTTTTTTTAATTTTTTTTAGTTTTACACCCTTCAGACCTCCCGTGCTACACCCTAATCCGTCTGTAGTCTGGCAGCACTGCAGCCTGCGGCTAATTGTACCACCATTTGAAGGTCCTACTACTTTCCCATTTACACCCCCATTCATTCTCATTCATTCCACGTCGTCGATGGTTAAACGCTAATCGGATGAATCCCATGGTGACACGGCCCATGGTGGAACCTCCCAGCGGTCACTCATCCACGGCGTGACCGGAGACTTCACTGCTTAACTGTTGCGAGTATGTAAACTCGCGGCTAGCCTCTCCGGCGCGGTCACACCTTAGGTAACTACAGTGCAAATCATAGATCTGGTCATGCTCTGATCCTTTGGATCCCTTTGCCTTGTTTTTGCCTTTTTACTACCCCACTTTTCCTTAAAACCAGGAAGGAGATAAACCTCCTTTAGCAAGAACGCCTATGCTCATATATAACCGGTATGAATCATTCATTTAATCTAACCTTTAAAGAAGTAAATTATAAAAATTGCCGAAGACGCCTGTCTAATAAATAGTAGGACGAGAATAATCTATCGCACACATCAATTTATATATAAATAGGCTGTGTTGCACAGTTGAAGTCGAGTCATAGCTGTGAGAACATCGATAAAGTAAATGTGATATAAATTATTATAAGTAAATTGTACTTAGCTGGAAATTTTACAATATTATATAAATCACGAAATAAAATTAACAATGCTTAATGGTTAGGTTTTTTTCAAAAATACTACTAAACTAATTCAATAAGTATTCTTAGCTTAATTTTCATTATACGAGGTCTGTAAATTAAGTAATGAGACTGATTTTTTTTTAAATTTTTTATACAAAAAGAATTACAATTCAATATTGTCACCTTCAAAATAACTTCCTTCTGAGGCCACACAGCGCTGGAGACGTTTCTTCCACTCCTCATAGCAGTGCTGGAACTCCGATACTGAAATAACCTTCAGCTAGTCGGTTACAGCCGTTTGAATTTTTTCGACTGTCCCTTGAGGTGACTTTTCAACTTTGGGAAGAGAAAAAGTAACAAGGACTCAAGTCAGGCGAATAAGGAGGCTGAGGAGCCACAGGAATGTTTTTACTGGCCAAAAACTCGTTTATTGAAATTGCTGTGTGACAAGGAGAATTATCGTGATGCAACACCCACTTGTTCCTGATGTTTGGTCTCACACGAATGACCCTTTTTCGAAGTCTTTCAAGAACCTCTCGGTAAAAGTGTTGATTGACCGTTTGACCTTTGTGGACGATTCCGTGGATATCGAAAAAACAAATCAGCATGCATTTGATCTTTGACTTCGCCATCCTTGCCTTTTTTGGCCTTCAAGAGGTTGAAGTGTGCCACTCCATGCTCTGGCGCTTGGTTTCTGGGTCGTACTCAAACACCCAAGTCTCGTCACCAGTAATGACATGTTCCAGAAAATGGGGGTCATTTTCAATTGAATCCAAAAGTCAATACACCTTTCCTTCCTGATGTTCTTCAGGTCTTGCGAAAGGTTTTTTGGAACCATTTTTGCGCAGATTTTTCTCATCCCCAATTCATTGATCAAAATTTGATGAACGGTGGTGTGAGTCAAATTTAACTCTTCCCCTATCATTCTGACTGTCAACCGACGATCTGAACGTACAAGATCCCGGATTCTGTCGACATTTTCATCGGTTCTTGAAGATGAAGGCCTTCCGCTTCGTGGTTCATCTTTAATCGACTCTCTTTCTTCTGAAAATGCCTTAAACCACCGAAAAACCTGGGCTCTTGACAAAACACTATCTCCGTAGGCCTGCTGAAGTTTCAGAAGAGTTTCCGTTGTACTGTGCCCAAGTCTGAAGCAAAACCTGATAGCACACCGTTGCTCGAAATTGATGTCATTCATTTTTAGAATACAATAGAAAAAACTGTTTCACAAAAACAATCGCTAGAAATCGGTATATATAAAAAAAAGGAGGAAAACTTGAAAAAGGTGACAAATTTGAAAAAAAATTATTTAAAATAAAAAACAGACTCAATTTGAATTTTACAGAAATACAATGGGAAAAATATTTTTTTTGTAAATGTACAAAAAGAGAATAACACAAACCCATTAAAAAATACACAATATTTTAAATATATTCCTACTATCCAATTTAATCTTCCATGTATAAATTGTTTTTGTTCATAAACGACAGTAATTGTTTTTCAACGGGAAAAGTGTAACAATTGCAGTTACCTATAATTTTTTTTAGCATATAGCAATCCTGTAATGCTTTCGGTATTTAATTTGTTTCTTTGTTTAGTTTTCATTAGATTGATAGCTGAAAATATTCTTTCTACATTAGCTGAGGAATGTCGAAGAGATAATATTATTATATTGAAAGCGAAGGAACTCAAAATAGGGAACATTGCCGTTTCATCACCCATTTTCAATTTATTTTCTTCTTGCCAAAATGATGTGGCATCGTTTGAAAAACCCCGAATTTCCTAAACATTTCTTAAAGACGCCATTCATTGTCACGTATTTGCATTTGATTTTCTGTTATTAAATTTGGAAATAAAAATGCTACTTTCGAAATAGAGCTTAGAGAACCATCTTTCACTATATCAGGATCGATAAAATTGAAATTGAAAAAAATCAAATCCTGGTAGATGAAATCCTGTAATTCGGTAGATTAATTCCTAAATCGGTATATCGGTAGAATTATTCCAAAATCGGTAGATCTACCGAAAAATCGGTAGTGTTGGCAACACTGGGTGGATCACATGTTCCTCTGCCGCCCCACTAAGCCCCGCGCTTCCAGTGTTGCCAGATCAAACGCAACGTTGCCAGTCTCATTACTTAATTTACAGACCTCGTATGCACTTGAAATCTAATAGAACCAAAAGCTTGTAAAAAAAATACTTCTATGAACCCAAGGTAAAAGGTATTATACCTCATGAGTGTTTTCCTGGTCTTCTATAACATTGCAGGGTATTATCTTATTTTGTTTTAACCCATTTTGGTTTGTATTACCCACTCTGTCACCTTCTATAAATCTTTAATTTAGTTTTTTTATTAGGTTCTTAGATCAATATGTGGTTGTCCAAAAAGCGCCTGTCTTTTTGGATCCAAGGTTTTTAAGTTGCACAATATTCGTATTTCTGGTTCTTTGTGACATAATTGTCACATTGTATCTTTATAGTACACACCTATTGTGTCATCTTTACTGGATCAATTATTGTTTACAACTGGTTCCTATTCACAGATGGTAGTCCTTATGTTCTTTTTGAACATTATCTTCCTCTGAAGGTGTTCCCATATGTTTGTTTTGGGATATTTTGAAGGGGGAAATATGATTTGGCCGCCCCAAAAAAGAGTTAGGAAATGAGTGTTTTATTAGCGGAAATGTTTTATAAATAAAGTACTAATACACTAGTCAACTGATTATATAGGATTTCCAACTTTCCTTGCTATTTTTCGGTGAAGGTACTGATATAGCCCTCGTAAATCACTGAACTTTAGGTTTTCCATTCTTAATAGATAGGTTTGCTAGGTTTGAGTCGTTATTGACAGTTTAAAAGCTATATGGGTATCTTTTCTTAGAAATTTGCTTCAATGCATGGTCCATTTGCACAGCTCGTCTTTAAGAAATAAACCAAGCTTAAACTGACATTTTTACATTAACAATGTCACAGGACAATGTAATTTTAAGCTTAGTTTAGTTCTTAACGACTAGCGGTGCTAATGGCCCATTTGGTTTAACAATCATTTATAAGTAACAAATATTTCTTTTAATTGTGTAAGCATAACATTTATTCTCACGTTTTAATCTAATTTATAATTTTGTTTCAGATATATTGGAAATATGCAGGACCAACTCAACCTTTAAAAATGTTAGGAAAAGACACTTACGGTATAGGTAAATTAATATGCACCAAAGCTCCTGGAGTGTTTGACAGAGAGGATATAACGTACACATATAAATATTCAGAAAAAACCGAAGATGAAAGATCAACAATGTTAAAAGCTCTCCGCCAATCTGAAAATCTATTTTCGAGGTATTATTTGAATGAGGAATTTAACGACATACATTTCGATTTTAAACTTATTGACGATATTAAAATTGGTCAACCATTTAGTGTGATTCTATCGATGAAAAATAAACACAAAACAAAAGAATTTAAAATAGCTGCCAAAATTAGAGTAGAGGTCGTAACATACACTGGAAAAGTTGGCGATAACGTAAAAACAGAAAAATTCATTGTAGCAGTGAAACCAAATTCAATCCATGATATCAAATTAGAAGTTAAATACGAAGACTATATAAAGAGGTTAATTGATCAATGCGCTTTTAACGTGGTTTGTTTAGCTAATGTAGAAGACACTAATTTTGAGTATTTCGCTCAAGATGACTTCAGAATTAGGAAACCAGATATTAAAATCAAACTCAGAAACAGTCCTGTAGAAGAAACTGAAGTTACAGCAGATATATCTGTCGAAAATCCACTACCAGTCTATTTAAAAAAAGGTGTTTTTACTGTAGAAGGACCTGGAATTGAGGGAAAGATAAAGGTTTACACCAAAGACAGTGTTCCACCTGGAGCAAATGCTAAAGGGGAGTTTAAATTTATTCCTCCGCGAACAGGAAGGCATACAATTGCTGCTAAATTTGTTTGTAAACAAATGGATGATGTGGATGGATATCTTATTATTATGGTAGAGCCAAAGAAAGAACAGGAAAATGGCACCTCCAATACCATTTCTTAATTTATTTAAAATATTCTTTTGTTGCTAAAAACTGCATTCGTATTATATTATTACCTACTTAGTATCACGAGGCAAATTATTTTTATAAACATAAGTAAGTCGATGTCTTATTTTCTTTCATAAAAAGTAAGACAGAAAAGAAAGTAATACTGACAGTATAAAGGACTTAACAGTAAAATATAAAGAACCCTTCAGTTATATAATTAATTAACTATATTTGAAAAAAAAAACATTGGCGCTGGAAATGACAAAGAGTGAAAAAAGAAGTATTTCCGGAGAAAGTGGGCATTAGCCATAAATTATAATAGTGTTAAACAATTTTGAGCATTTGCAAAAGACTTGGAAGGACAATCATCTTCGTATAGACCCATTTATTCAAAATAATTATGTTAACAATAAGTAGATATTAGATAAGTGAAATATGCACAATATTATGATATTACGGAACGTGCAATACTGTTTAAGAGCCTATTCCTGATGGGTGCTAATTTTTATCAGGTCTGGCATAGGTACTATAGTAAATGGGTTGGCCTTAAGTGAGTGTTTGAAATAAATATTTCATTAAAATATTAATTAACATAAAAGTTATTATACCGTACCATAAACATAAAATCGTGAGGAAATAATTAAGGTTGTACCTTTCTAAGTACTTAAGTAATTTAGTTACCTGTTTCCTATAACTATTTAGTATTCAGTAACAAGATGATGGGATTTACTACAGTACCTAATTCAATTTTAATTTAAACAAATATGACAATACTTCCATAGATATTAAATAACACTAAAAAGTTTAAGAACTTGTGGTGGATATGATATTGTTGCTACATATATAGAATTTAGACCAAATGCCTACCTAGGTACATAGGTAGGGACCTAAGTAAAATTAAACTAGGAAGAGCTTTAACTATCAATAATTTATTTTTGTATTAATATTTATAGAAGTAGATAAATAATATTTATAGAATTGATTGTTTAAATAAACAGTTGAAATGTATGTAGTTTTGTTTTTTTACCCATGAACCATAAGACTATTAAAGACTATTAAAAAAGTATTGTATACTTTTGAACGAATTTTATGATTGATTGTCATTAAAAAAAAATAGTAACTATGTAATGCAATTAATAATAATTATATCTATATTGGTTTCATTCCAATCTTTGAATATTCAAGTTTTACTTTTAATATTTTCATTTATTGTACACTATAAAACAAAAATAATTAAATTTTATTTAAAAAAAGTCGCATTTTGCTAGTAGTATTCAGGTAACACACTGACGTCACCGCGACGTTACTTTTTGGTGATAATTGATAATGTCATCAGAAGACATATTGCCGTTGCAAGATCAATGCACCATCTATCAGAAATATTTCAACAATGTTACATTGAAACATTTGCAATGTTTTATAAATATTACGAAACATCCCCGAAACATTTCTGAAATATGCCTGAAACGTAAAAAATATTTCTGAAATGAAAATTAGAAAACTTTTAGAAATATTAAATAATAATATTTCAGAAATGTATTCTAGTTTTTTTCTAATATAATATTATACTAAAAAAAAGACATTTAAACATATACATGTTTATTTAAAATACACAAAATTCAAACGTTGATTCTTAAACAAACAAATATATATGTTTTAAAGAATATTTCATAAAACATAGAAGCGAATTTCTACAAATTCCTTTAAATGCACTAATTTCAAACAACTAAGTTTTTTTTTAATAAATGCTCCAAGTAAAGAAACATTTACGATTATTATAATCTTATCATTAATATCTATTAGCAATTTTATGTTTACCTAACTTATCTAGGGATAAAAAACTTCATAAACTAAGATTCTACTCACTATATAGTGTACTTTAGAGTCTAATTATTTAGTTACACTACCGTTAACGTATAAAACTTTTGCACTATACTCTGTTTTAATCTAACATCACTGAACTAACTCAAAAGGCCTGGTTTTTTTGAGTCTTCTTATTGGATTGGCATTGTTGAGGAGCTGGATAATCTCAAGGTTTCCATGTTGGAGCAGTTGTTGTTGGTGACTACTGGCAAATTTTTGTATTGTATTTTCAACAGTTTCCACTTTAAGGTCCCTATACAGGTCAGTATTACGACAGTACCAGGATGTATCGACGATGTTCCTTAATACTTTATTCTGGAAACGTTGAATAACTTGGATGATACTTTTACTAGCACAGCCCCAAAGCTGGAAAATTGCTTCATTTCCACCAATTCCTTTAAATGCACGAATCTGAAACAAAATATAGGCAATTAAAAAGGATCATACAAATTATTTGATTAACAATAATTTTATTAATGTTGTTTTAAATTAACTATAATAAAACAATACTCATGTCTAAACAAAACATGGAGATCCACCTAAGCAAGCATTGTTTATGTAGTTCTCACCTTAATTTCTAAAGACATATTCTGCTTCCCATATAACAGCTTCACAACGTATGAATACCAAATACTAACAACTCAAATTTATAACAGAAACAACTATCTGTCTATAATTATTTAGAATTGGTATAGGCACAAAGCACATATCTTCTAGAGACCCCACGCCAATGGTAGACTTTTAAACCAAATTAGCGCCACCTTGAGTTAGGAGCAGGAAGTAAAATGACAATTGACAGATGGCGGTAAATTCAAATTATAATTTTTAGTAGTAGGTAATGGTTCTAAATTAAATTTTAAATGATTTTCACATAAATTATTTTATAAAATAAAGTATGGAACTAGTAAGTTCGAAACTTTTATTTTACAAAATAATTTGGGTGGATATGCCAAATTTAAGAAATTAATTTGTTATAATGGGTCTAATTTGGAGAGTTCGTTCTGCATATTATTATTAAATAAAATATAAGATATATCAATAAATAATAAATAGAACATTCTTAAAATATGTTTATTAATAACTTAAATAAATATTATTAGAACAAAATAAATACAAATAATAATACATATTTAACGAATACTTACTTGGAGCAAATAGGTATACAATCTCAAATCTTTAAAATATCAATATATTGAAATGTGAAGTAGAAACTAGGATAGGTATAACATTTTATTAACAATAAAGTTATATTTTATAAATGTCTTTTTACCTGAAAGATAAATGTAATATATGTATTGGATTAAAAGGTGAATCCTCTCTGTATCTATAACGTGTGGAGGGTGGGTACTCTCTTATGTGATAAATTATTTCGGAATCTAGTCCTGTGATAAATTGATTACCCGTTTGTCTTTTTATGGTGCATGGTAAATCAATGAAGTTTTTCTCGAAGTTTTCAACGTAGCACCAAAATTATTGCAAAACACAGTAGGAAATAGAAAAGCAAAACATCACAATTTTGCAAATAACTAAGACGAAACTATAAACAGAAACAAAAAGCCAAAGCCAACAAAAAAATCACTACAATCAGACGGAAAAATGAGACTATAATAAATACACGTCACATCTGTGGATTCTTTGGTTAAGTTTTTCGCCCATAAAATCTAAAAATGGAGTATGACATAATAATTTCACCAGTAGCCACATCTAGAGTTTGGAGCAAATAGCATAAAAAATGTCAGTTGTCGGTTTTGACCTTGGTCATTCACGTGGAACCTCTATGTGCTTTGTGGGTATAGGCTTGTTTCTAGCTGGTGGCTACACAGGAACACATGATGAAATAAAATAACTACATATACATATCCTATCTTCTTCTTACAAATCAGAAATTCTTCATTAATTGTTGGCTTTTTACAACATAACCCGTTTTCAGTGACATATTTAACTAAAATATTTCAGAAATATTTCAGAAACGTGTGCTTGAAATGTTATATGTTTGAAATATTTCTGAAATAATTTGTGCTGTATGGGTAGTTTGTATGGCTTTTTTGTATTTACTTCTGACTAATATCGGATGAGTTTTCTTTGTTTTTCAGGATTAATAATCTAGATCAAAAGTGGAAATAAAAAAATAAAAAAGAAGAAGAAATAAATCTTACCGGCTATTGGAATTTTAAACAAATTTTGTAGTCGGCTACAATTTCAAATTTATAAGCTTCAAAATTATGTAAAGTAACTTATGATGGAAAGAGATAGTCCGATATAATATAATATTTAAAACTAATAAATGATAGAACTAAATTAACAGCCCTTGGATCTATTCTGTAAAACACCCGTTAAAATTTAGAGGCCTTTAAAAATTTTACTTTTAGCAGCCCCTTAATTTTTTTAACCAAAAATGGTATTCTGTACACATAAATTTTAGAGGCCTGTTAAAAATTATTTATTTTAACGGAGTCCCTTAAAAATGACTGCAGAACACTTGACACCATTGCATTTAAAATTCATTTAAACTAATTTTGAAGGATAAGAAGAATAAATTTGAAAACATAACCTTACAAATCCTCAATTTTCAATTCAAAACCAAAACATACCTACCTACATACATTAAAAATAAAAAAATGTCTCGCGCACCAAGAACTACTAAAAACCAAAAAGAGTGGATGATAAACTTCTTAGAACAGCAAAATTTGCTTCACGGTAGGAAAATAAATATAGTAGATACAACGAAATAAAAAAAAAGTTTGGGAAAACGAATTAAATAAAATTGGGCCCAGACACCTTCTAGGAAAATTATATTTGTCGTGAAATCTGTTTATTTTATTATATTCTTTTATTTTCCAAATTAGGAAATAAAAATTGGGTAACAGGTTAATGTAAATTATATTTGTTACTTCATCTATTTTCTACTAATAATTGATTGACTTAAAGCAAAATGATCCCTGTCCTCAGATAGTTGGTATCCTTATCCAACCTCCTTTTCCAAAAAAATTAGTTGCAAGTATTTTTAAATATGCTGATATTGCCGTATTTATTAACTATAGTTCTATCTACAACTATAAAACCCGAAAAATCTTTTTACATTTGGTAACTGAGATGGATCGCTAAAGTCCCTAAAATTGACCTTTGAAGTAATTGAAATTCGGCTCTGAAATATTAAATGTAATAGATGTACCTACATTATATGTTTTGTACTTTATTATAACTTTCTTCATTTTCCAATAATTCTTCAATCAAAATTTTTCCATTTATAATATAAAACTCCATTTTCGGTTCCGTTAAAAATTAAAGGTGAATTTTACCATGCCTTTAAAAATAATACTATTTTAAAGGAATCCGTTTAAATAATGACAGAAGTAAATTAGCGAATACGAAAATATTTTTAAAGGCCGTTAAATATAAAGGAATTGTTACAGAATAGACCCCATTATCTGATTTCAAAAATGTTTGCGCCATGTAGCGCCATCTCTTCAACATTCACAATACTAATACTATTGCTGTCGATTTGAATTCGAAGTTGTTGTTACGCCACTACCTCCTCGTTTGCAATATTCGAGATAGATGTCTCTGCAAGTATGTTTCTGCTACAGTGTATTTATTTAGATATAATCTCTGTAGTTTTTGCTGTTTGTTATTTAAAAATAATTTCGGTATGCAAATTTAATAATTCATTACTGACCATAGATACAGCTTCTTTTGTTTTGAAACAAATAAAATTTAAGAAACGCAAAGTGCTTCTTATGAAAGAAATCATGTAACTATAATTTTGGTTACGATGAAACTATATCGAAATAAAAAATTGTTATCTATTGTTAAAAAAGATGGTAGAATTTTGGAAATGTTTGAAATAAGTGATGAAAATTAATAATAATATTAATAATATTAATAATATTAATAATATTAATAATATTAATAATATTAATAATATTAATAATATTAATAATATTAATAATATTAATAATATTAATAATATTAATAATATTAATAATATTAATAATATTAATAATATTAATAATATTAATAATATTAATAATATTAATAATATTAA